TAATCCGAAGGGTTGTCAGAGAGGAACATAGAAAGATCATTTGTTGGGGCCTGCGAGTCTTGAACTGGATAAATTTGCTGTGAAGGCACTTGGGATGATTCCTCCTGAGGGTTGAGGCTGTTCATTAGAGACTGGATGAAATTGGAATCCCAGTTCGTGTTTTGCTGCGAAAAGAAATTGGGAGGGAGGGAGAATTCGTTGTTCTGCAATGAACCGGACGAAGTTGAGGTGTTGACGATAGGATGAGATCCCGTCGCATCGAGATTCGTGAAGCGACGCGCTACCGTACCTTTGTTACCTGATTTAAAAGAGGATGTGGACTGCCCAAACGAGAAGAGGTCGTCATCGGCGGGAGCTGTATGCGAAAACGTATTTTGAGGTTGACTCGTTTCTAAACTCGCAGACTGATCAGCGATGTCAAGTTGCCGAGCAAGAAACCGCCAGACACATACCTGCAGAAAGGACAGGTATTTCTTCGTCATCGTGAACCTGAAATATTTGTCCAGTCGGTGTGTCACCATTTGTTGTCGAAGGGGATTCCACTAAAGGTTTAGGATCGGTGAGGGAAGTAGCTGTACCATCCGAAGCTGTTGTCTTGCCTCCTTCCAGGAGTAGAACTCGTCTGCCATGCTTGTTCAGGCCGGTTGCGCGACGCGGATTCTTTTCCCCATCGTGGTGACCATCCATCCCATGCTCAATGTCTCCATCAAAATGATACACAGACTCGTTGACTGTTGTAGGCGTTGCAAGAGAAGCAGGTGCGTTTACCGGAGAAGCCCCTCCGGCGTTGATGGCTCCTCCAAAAACTGTAGCCAAGAACTTGAGTATTTTGTTGATGGTCTCGTTCTGTCTCTTATGTCTGTCTCTGGAAGAAATAGCCTCCTGCCATAACCCTTGACTAGAGCTCTTCAACTCCTTCAGCTCTGCCGAGATGTTAAGTTGCTGCTTTCTGATAGCCGCTAGCTCGGACAGGAGACTGGGAACGTGTGTGAGCGCTAGTCTGTCAGAACCGAAGGCAGGAGCAGAAGGCGAGAGTGAAGTTCGCCCAAGTTTCGGGTCGGAAAGTTGGCGAGAGAGTGACGATGGGACTGGTTTTGTCCCGGCTGAGTTCGCCGCGCTCGAGGTGACGGTGTTGGTATGGATGGGATTTTCTGGGGCTCGTTTTCGTTCAATCTTGGACAGGAGTTCGGGATGGTCCCTTTGAAAGAACGGATTCGAGTATTCCACTAGAACGCGAAGGCGAAAGAAAGGAGGGGGTAAGTGACACCAGGTGAAACTGGGAGAAGAGCGACTGTACAGGCTTCATCGTCCTCCTCTCCACGGCGCGGATACCCATGTTGCAGCTGTGGGACCTTCTTGAATCCGTACATATTGAGTTGGCGGACGAAGGATTCTAGTTTGGCGTGTTTGAAGAAGTTGGGAAGTACTTCTACTCGTAATCGCTCTTGTTGGCGGACTTGTATGGTGTCCGATGTCATCATATATGGACAGCAGGTGAAAAAGAAACAAACCAATAAATGAGTCCCCATTGGCGCTCCAACGAATTATGGCGTCTGTCGCTGGGTCCCCAACCATACTGTAAAGTGAGGAGTTGAGCAGGTTCGTACGCGGGAAGGGAAGAAGGGAATCACCTGTACAGCTTGTTCAAAAAGGCTGTAACTGCCCTGGAATTGTTCGCATTGGTCATGGTGGTAGTTTGTATGCACACCTAGCGTAAAAATTCTCGATCAAAGGCAACCTGCGAACATAGGCAGCTTTCGGATTTCTTGGTGTGAGTGCAGGGTTCACGGAGCAGTTGTGAGCGAACTGCCTTTTCTGGAAATTCCTTCACGTCTCCAACATTTCTACTATATTCAAAACTAATCCCTTTGGCCCTTCTATAACACGAGTGTCAAAAGCGACCCAATGCAGGCTTTGTTACAGCGTAGTATTGTGAACCTCACATGGCCTTCGATGTCGTATCACTGCTCCTATCGCACAATTTTGACAGCAGCAAAACTACTTGAAAAGCGCCGTTAGTTTTTCGTCTTTGTAGCCTCAAACTCTGCTCATTTGCTTTCTAGAACGCCAGCCACCTCTCCCTCAAATCAAAGATGTCCCTTCATTCATTCAAGCATGCAACAAGAACCGTAAACTGGTCACCTACGTGCCCAAGTTTGAGGACGTGACACTTGAAGACTTCTTAAAGATGGATGGAGAGAAGTTAGAGAAGCTGACTGGGATGAGTTTGAAGGAAAGAAAGTATCTTTTGAGGGTCATGGAACGGTATCGGCAAGGTATACGGTCCTTGTTGCTTTCTCAATGCATGCTAATCATTATTTTGCAGGAGCGCATCCGACACAAGTTGCTGTCCCTCTCAAACCACCCAAGAAGATTCGAGGTTGGGGTCCTAAGGTACTCCATCGTCCTTTCATGATGATACGTCATACTAAACAATTGTGCAGATCCAATTTGGCAAGCGGGTTCGCTGATGACGCACCGGAGACGCTACCGTTGCTCCGTATCCCATAATTTAGAATGAAGGTGCATTGATAAGGAAGAGTTTGTCGCTCTCCTTTTTTACCCATTCATCAAGGCTGGCTAAGGCCGTCATTACGGCGGTCTTTGGCAGCATATGAGAAAGAGCGAGATAGGTCTCCCTCTCCGAGGATATCTAGCACATTCCAACTCCTCAGCCCACTCACTGTTCTAGAAGTAGAAGATAAGGCGGGACTTACGGTACCAAGAACAATTTCCCATTCTGTCCGGAAGTAAACCAATTTAGCGGCTGACTTCCTCACTGTCTTCGCACTCGATGTCGAAGTCGACTGGTCTAACCGTCCCTTGATGGCGTCGTGCGCTTTTTGATATAACACGATAAGCCTGTCTGTCATTCAGTACTACGTCAAAGACGGATACAAGTGAAGCAAACCGGCGGCGATTGTCTAGGTTTTCGTCATCGTATATTCCGTCCCAATCCGCTACAGCGATTTGAACATAAGTGCGAGACTTGTAGACGAAGTGCCTCAAGCCAGGGATACCGAGTTCGCCTGTTATACATATCTGAGCTAACAGCAAAGGGAATAAAGAAGGAGAGAGACGAACCAACGTTGATTCCTTGTGTCTTCGTTCCTTCCCTTACCCTGTCTAAAATATCCCCTCCTGCTAACTTGCGCATGACGCTCTCCTTTAATTCTTGTAACTCAACAAATGCCTCCCGGTTCGCACTGACGAAAATTAAGCCCAAGTTGAGCGGATCTCCAGAGCCATGATTTGATGAATCGCCGTTCTGAACCTGTGGAAAAGCAACATATGAATGCAGAAAGCCTTGGTCGTTGAACTTTGGAAGACAGATTGGAAGCCAAGACTCGGTGCTTGTGAGTGACGGGGAGGAGAGGATTGTGTTGAGTAAAATAAAGAGATCTGTTTGCCCTGTTAGATCCTGCCCGTTAAGGAGGAGAGGAAGGGACAAACCGGTGGGATGGACGCTGTGTTTCCGTGGCCGAACGAGAGTCAGGATTTTGCCATTGGCCAGTATCAGTAGGTATAAAAGATCCTAGTCTTCAGCTATCAGCATCCCTGGCTTCCTTAAGTAGAAACAAAAGCGCACCTTTAGTTTCTTCTCCGGAAGCAACGCCTTTCCAACTTCACTCCGCGTTTGACTGTCTATTTTAAATACTGTGAGGCTCGCCATCAGGTGAGTAAAGCACAGTTCCCCCATTTGGGCGTTATCAATAAGAGAAGACAAGAAGTTTTCCGTTCCTTCACCCAACATGAAGCAAAAGGGCAGGCGAAGCAGAAATGGAGATACCCACCTGAAAGCATCCGCCTCAAATCGAAATTTGCCTGTTTTGAGAATAGTCTCGTAAGCTGAAGGGAAGAGACCACGGAGAGAATCTGAAAGTGTATTAACTCCATGTGCGACCTCAGCTTATCCCTTCATCAAACATTAACCGATGATGAAAAAGTGTGCGCTTACGACAGACTCTGGTTCTCCCCAGTCCGAAGCGGCGACCAGGTATAGCGGTGATTTCCGCATGAACGCTATTCGAAAATTCTGATCTGCCTTAACGTATCTAAGCCACTTGGATCAGCGTGGGCGCGAACAGTCCCAAGAAAAAGCGTACCGGATCATATCACCGTCCTCCTCGAAAATGGATATGATTGCTCGCATCACCCCAACCTGCCCTGTTGCCTCCTCTTCGTCTTCGCTGACTACATGATCAATTTCCAAAGTTGGAAGCAAGGAAGAAACCCACCTAGCCCACACGAGCTTTCCTGAATTCGAAAGGACAAAGTATTTCCTTCTCGAGAAGGGAGAAAACACTGCAGTCGTGATGAGCATGTGTATTCTTCCCGAAACTGAGGCAGTCACCTGAGGGCGGTAACCGATCCTCATCGAGTTCAAGTTCCTCCATCTCCTGTTGCCGTGCTGTTATACCATTTTCAACAAAGTTCTAACGAAGTGGACGCAAGACTGACTTCTCGTCGTCTTTATAGATACGTCTGACTTCTTCCTTGTATATGTCGCACTTCGAAGAAGCTGCTCTCTGAGCAGCGTGCGTGAATCCTTTGATGGCGCAGCGAGAGTGATTCCCTGGTAAGACGTAAACCTCAGAGCCCCTGAGTAAGAGTACTGTTTACCGAGCTCGAAAGGATAGCATCATGATCGTTGGCAGGCTCGACTGCATCGCCAGCTTCGGGGGTCAACGAGAAGCTACTCCCGCTGACAATGCCAACATCCTCATCATTCGGTTCAATTGAAGGTGCAGGTGTTTCCGAGACTGAGCTGGTGATGGAGCTCGCATCGGAGGAGATATGGGATGGGGAGTTGAAGTTGCTGCCTCGGACAGCGGTGTTTTGGACAGTCAAGGACGGTGTTGATGGTCTGGAAAGAAGTGCTGGACTCGCTTTCGGTTTGTTCAGCAGGCCTGGGGAGGTCATTACGATGGTGGGTTGTGATCGTAGGAAGCAAAGACCAAGGAAGAGGAAGGTAAACCAAAAATTCAAATGACAAAAAGTGACCCCGACCCGACTTGAACGGATAACCTTCAGGAACTTCCTTAACTGGAATCTGACGCGACTACCATTGCGCCACGGAGTCCATTTGTTGTAGGATCGCCTCTCTATGTAAATATAAATCCTTTAGTTCCCAGATATGTTTTCAAGCTGTTGTGACTGTTGTGACTGCGACTGACTGCTTGCTGAAGCTGGGCAGAGACATTACTCGACATACAGCCAGAACTCAGGGCTGGAAGAGATGGACGGTGCCGTTATAAACATACAATATTTCATTCAATACAAACAGCACTCTATCAGTATTCAACCAGTTAAGATTGCTATATGTTCTGTCCGCTGGACGGTCTGTGAGGCAGCGGCTTATCGTCCTTTATTGATGGAAGAGGTTTCCTGTCATCAACGAGTGGGTGCTTTCCCTCTCTCTCCAGTTCTTCTGCAACCTCCTTTTTCACCCTGACTCCTCCCCTGCCATCGCTCGCCAACTTGATCAGGCCTTTTTCTGTAAGGTCACGCATCTCCACCATCGTTTTGCGGGGGTCAGGAGTGTCGAGGATTCCGGTGCCAGCCACGATCACGTTCGAACCTGGTTGCATAGCTCGAACTTTGAACACTGTGTGGGGAGAGAACGCACCGGCTTCAGCGCAGACACTGATGTTGTGAGTCTTTACTCCTCCATCGATCTGGATGTCTTTCTCAGGGAATCGCTCCCGAAGCTCGTGCACCTGGGATGTTGCAATCGGAAACGGATGTCAGCTGAATAGGAGTGGCGAACCTTTGCTAGGCATTCGGGGATAAGTTTCTGACCTCCTGCTCCAGGCATGATGGTCATGACAACGATCATATCGGCGGCATGTCCAATCTCATCAGTGATGGTCGATGTAGCTGCCTTTGTTCATGAAAAATACTTAAGATGGAGAGGCAGAGGTGAACTCACGTGTTGGAGGGTTGATCGCGACTGCAGCTTTCATCCCGTGGTCCTTAATCTTTTGTATCAAAGCGGTCGTATCTTCTGTTCCGTGGAGAAGAAAACTCATCATCAGAGAGATAACGATGCCGTGGACACGAACCAACGGTGACCGTCTCCATATGAAATGTGTACGATGTCCCTCCAGCTTTGGCAACTGCTTCCACCCACTATGGTTTCAATCAGAAAAAAGGAAGACGGAGGAAAGGAAAAGGCTGACCTGTCCCGGGTTTGAGACCATCATATGACAGTCCATGTAGGCATTCGGTAGCTTCTTCGCAACCTTCCCGATCACCTTCGGGCCAAATGTAATGTCGGGCACAAAGTGACTGCTCTGCCTTCAGTGGAGAGGAAGAGATGGCAGTAGGAGGCAGTACCCGTCCATAACATCTACATATAACAATGTTAGTTACTTCCAAAGTGCAGTAGACTTTGATGCGAAAAGTATATGTAATCAATCTACCAGTTAAGATTGCTATATGTTCTGTCCGCTGGACGGTCTGTGAGGCAGCGGCTTATCGTCCTTTATTGATGGAAGAGGTTTCCTGTCATCAACGAGTGGGTGCTTTCCCTCTCTCTCCAGTTCTTCTGCAACCTCCTTTTTCACCCTGACTCCTCCCCTGCCATCGCTCGCCAACTTGATCAGGCCTTTTTCTGTAAGGTCACGCATCTCCACCATCGTTTTGCGGGGGTCAGGAGTGTCGAGGATTCCGGTGCCAGCCACGATCACGTTCGAACCTGGTTGCATAGCTTGAGCTTTGAAAATTGTTTGGGGAGAGAGAACACACCGGCTTCAGCGCAGACACTGATGTTGTGAGTCTTGACTCCCCCATCGATCTGGATGTCTTTCTCAGGGAATCGCTCCCGAAGCTCGTGCACCTGGGATGTTGCGATCGGAAACGAATGTCAGCTGAATAGGAGTGGCGAACCTTTGCTAGGCATTCGGGGATAAGTTTTTGACCTCCTGCTCCAGGCATGATGGTCATGACAACAATCATATCGGCGGCATGTCCAATCTCATCAGTGATGGTCGATGTAGCTGCCTTTGATCATGAAAAATATTCAAGATGGAGAGACGAAGATGGACTGACGTGTTGGAGGGTTGATCGCGACTGCAGCTTTCATCCCGTGGTCCTTAATCTTTTGTATCAAAGCGGGCGTTTCTTCTGTTCCATGGATTAGAAAACTCAATATCAGACAGATAACGATGCCGTGGACACGAACCAACGGTGACCGTCTCCATATGAAATGTATAGGATGTCCCTCCAGCTTTGGCAACTGCTTCCACCCACTATGGTTCAAATCAGAAAAAAAGGAAGAAGGAGGAAAGGAAAATGCTGACCTGTCCCGGGTTTGAGACCATCATATGACAGTCCATGTAGGCATTCGGTAGCTTCTTCGCAACCTTCCCGATCACCTTCGGGCCAAATGTAATGTCGGGCACAAAGTGGCTGCTCTGCCTTCAGTGGAGAGGAGGAGATGGCAGTGGGAGGCAGTACCCGTCCATAACATCTACATATAACAATGTTAGTTACTTCCAAAGTGCAGTAGACTTTGATGCGAAAAGCATATGTAATCAATCCTTTTCATAGGATATCAATCTGGATGGCAAAAGAAAGCTCCTTGGGTAGTTTATATTGAAATGGTGCTGACGTAGATCGCTCACCCATGTGAAGCCAATCCGCTCCCTGATCCAAAATCTTCTTGCATTCATGTGTAAGTTCTCCAAAATCGCAAGAGAGCATAGAGGGCGCTATAATGCATCTATGTGGGTCCATCCTTTCGAGGATTTAAAGAAGTGGTAGAGTAGATTGTGCTTGGTACCGCGGTTCTTGCACAGACAAGGTCGTTTTGGTTGATTCTTTTTCGGAATCAGACAGTGTTAGGTGCGAGACAATGGGTTCAGATGGCGGACGAGCTGCTATTATGCGATATGAAGCTGGAGCGGCTTTCGGTGCGATGTCAGTTTCGTGGAGGTGGTTGGCAATAAAGTTAGACGGACGAGCCTTCTTGCCAACCAACTCGACCACGACCTTACTTTCCTCTTTACGACTTGTAGACTCTCGCGTGCTGTAGAGTTCCTTGCGAACACTCAAACAAATCCCCATCAACTTAGCTCGAACTTACGACATCTGTACATCAGGCACGAACGCTCTCAATGGCTGGCGGTCATGGGGGAAGCTTCGGCTTTAGTAACAGGAGAATGCGCTCCCAATGGATAGGGAGGGCAAGGATAAAAGGAAGCAAGGAATGGCAGCGACTGGTGGTTATCAGGTTGGAATTGCATTTGCACTATGTCAATGTTGTTGACGTATGTCTCCTGCAGTCTTTCGTTCTTGGGTCTTCAGATCGTATGGTCTACCGAGATGGCCTATGGTGCTTAGCTCTTTCGTTATCTACGAAATGCTTGAGCTAACGGACGAATGAAGTTTCCCCGTACCTCCTTTCCCTTGGGATGTCCAAATCTTGGATGTCCATCGTCTTCTTAGCTGGTCCACTGTCAGGTATGGACTCCCATCCGTGGAGACTGACTGGTACTGAGAGCTCGTAGGATTGATCGTGCAGCCTTTAATAGGTATATACGCAGATCGTTGCACTTCTTCGTTAGGACGACGGCGGCCATTCATCATCGGTGGTTGCGCTGTCTGTGCCTTGGCACTTCTTTTACTAGGATTTACGAAGGAAGTGGCTGGCGTTATCTTTACAGCAGGTGGAGATGCTGTGGGTCTTCACATTTCTAAAGAATAAAGAGAAGCTGAGTTGATGGACTAGCACACTCGTTTCACAATCCTTCTGGCAGTCCTGGCGGTATACATTTTGGATTTCTCGATCAATGTGGTGCAAGCAGCTGACCGCGCCTTACTTGTTTGTCTTCCTTTATACTGCCTTCTAGTGACTAAAAGTTGCGCACTGTTAGCTGGATGTTCTCCCCTCGTCGCTGCAGAAGGATGGCAATGCATGGGCCTCTCGTCTGACTGGAGCTGGCGCCGTTCTTGGATTTTTCATAGGAGAGGAGAACCTCATCGAGACGTTCGGATGGCTAGCTGATAGCCAACTTAAGATTCTCGCCATCATCGCCGTCACCGTTTTTTGCGTTACGCATACCATCACTTGTCTTTGCGTCGAGGAGCGAGTGCTCATTGGACAAGTAGACCTCGATGCTGAAGAAGGTATACGGCTGGGTGGTAGCAATTCACGAAGAAACAGCGGTTTGTTTGGAGCGTTGCGACAGATTTGGGACAGCTGGAAGACCTTGCCATTGGACATTAAGACGATCTGCCGTACACAAGGTTTCTCGTGGATTGGCTGGTTCCCAGTTCTCTTCTTTTCTTCGACGTGGGTAGAAGAGATTTACGTCAAGAACGCTTTACTGACCGGCACGGCGGATGGCGAATCTCACGAGCAGCTTCTTGATGAGGGAACACGGACAGGCTCGAGAGCTATGCTATACCATGCTATCCTCGCGTTCTTCGTCTCCATCATCGTCCCCTCCCTGGTTCCAACGTCGGACACCGGGGCTCCTAATCCTTCCTCTGCTCTCACCTTACGCTCGATCTACAACAACTATTCCAGGGAGCCGGTTTCGCCAATCAAGCAACTTTTCCTCGCTCTGAGGGACAAGATAGCGCAGAAGGAGTTCACGATCCCTTGGCTCGATCTTCCTATGACTTGGCTCATCTCCAACGCTTTCTTCTCCGTCCTTATGATCTCCACGTTTTTCACGTCCTCCGTCAGTTATGCCATTGTTGTGGTGACTCTGACCGGATTCTCACTTGCCATTTCAATGTGGGCTCCATTCGCCTTGGTATGTGCTCTTGATATCCTGGCCCAGTCTACACTATTGATATTGATGAAAATGCAGATCGGTGAGATTATCCACAAAGCTTCATTCGATACCAAGTCTACCCAACTCCAAGAACTTCGCCGATCGCGGTACTGGAACAATTCCCTGACGCCAATCTCTGAAGCTACTGAGCCAGCTACTGGTGTGCCCTCCGAAGAGGTATCAGATGAAGAAGACGAGCGTGTGCGCCTCGTTAATGACCGTTCACATCCCTCTATTCGCCGGAACGCTCCAGAACAAAATGACGATGACATCGTGTTTGATATTGATGATGAGG